ATTCAGTGAAATCACACATCTAATACACGTCAGGGTCAGCAATGAATAAATAAATGCAAACTGTTGATTTGTATGAATAAAAATATTTTAATTTTCAATGCCGTGCTCTCTGCAGGAGCAGTGTGCCTACTTGAAGGGATGTGCAACGTTGCCCACATGTTTGGTGCTATTACATTTGTGGATGAATTGCATGCTAGAGGATTATAAGGCCCCAGAGGAGGAGGGATTGAAGACAGAGATAAAGTCATGAAAAAAATGGATATCATCTCTGGTACACTTTGTAAGTGGACACTTCATCAGTGAGAGCAAACATTTTCTGACAGCTGCTGCATAGGTTTTATAGAGGATTTAATATCCAGCTATGGCAATCAGCTGTTTTGGTGGCTGTATTGCCAGCACCAGCCCCTGGTGGACACAGTGCCCTGTTGTGCTGCAGGTTTCTTCTCTACCAAGTCTCTGCCCCCATGCTGTTGGCAGGGGAATACATTAAGATCCTGAAAAGTGAAGAAGGCCAGATGCTCAGAAGGAAACATCAGACGACTGTCAAGCTGCTTCGACAGATGCTGATGGATTCTGGCTTTCCTGTGGTTCACTGTCCAAACCACATTATTCTTGTCCAAGTAAGAAAATTCATGCACATTATGCTTTTGCACGAATTGCCCATGGAATCTTTAGTTGACAGGACAGTTGGTTCTGAAACAGGCATTTGATGCCTGGATAATTTTTTTTTTACCCTCTACTCACTTAGTTACACTTAGTTAGGCCCACTTTGCTAGTAACAAGTTGGTCTCACTTTTGATTTTTTTTATATACTTATATGATTATATTTCATATTTGCATTTACAAGTAGTTCAAAAGGTGTACCTAATAAACTGGCCATGAGAGATTCTGTAAATTTCTCTTATAGAATGAGTTCCGTCTTACACTCAAAATTCAATTTGAGACTAAGACTGTGGTTTGTGACACTATGACGTCTTGTGACAACATCAACGTTCAGGCGATTGACTACCCCGCCATGGGTAAAGGAGAGGTGCTGCGCACTGCCCCCACAACAGACCACAATCCCCAGAGGATGCACTACTTTTTTAGTGTCAGTTTAACAATTCAGTTGCCAATCCTGTTTTTGTTGAGTTCTCCTTACCATATTGAAGTGTAAAATGCAGAAAAGTTGACTTTTATGCTCAATAATATGCCTGGCCATTAAGTAACAAAGATGATGAAAGGTATTACTTTAAAGCTTCATCAGATAGTGAACCAACTAATGGTTTAAAAACCTCGCTTATGATAGGATTATTTGGTCAGTATTTAAGCTGTTAAGGTTATCCAACATCTGTAATTCTCAGTCGTCACTGCATCTTTTGTGTTGCTTTGTCTTCACAGATCGGCTGATGAAACATGAAAGGAAGTGGGTTTGGACCTGAGGTCGCCCGCCTTAGCAGAGTGCAACTTCTGCCAGCAACTTCTTCACTTTGAAAGATGAGTGTGAGAGAGAAGTCTTACTGCAAAGGCCTCAGTCCCATGATATCAGCAGTTGCCTGACATCACCAAAAGCACTGAATTCTCACGATATTAAAGCTGTATTTTTTTTTTTTTAAATTTTAAATAAACATGCGGTCTGTGTGTGGTTAAAGCATCAATGAACTCTTTTACATTTTTTCAAAACTTCAGCTTTTACATGAATTAGCTGTTACATATATGTGCAAAATGTAGTTTTTTTCCAAAGAGGTTCTGAACTTAAACTTTAAATACTGAACATAGTTTCCATCACAGAGGTTTTTATGTTCACATATATTTAAATAAATGATCCGTGTTCCTAGTCTACTGGATTTCATATTTCATTCTTTGATTTTCTAATATTTTTAATTGTATTTCTTTTTAATAATATATTTGAGTATTCTGGGGAAAGGATGACAGCAGTGGACAAATATGTGGACAGATGTTCTTGCGTTCTTGACAGATGTTCTTGCGTTCTTCTCAGATGAATCTTTTCAGCTGCTGTTTGTTGGAAGAGTTTTGTTACTCTACCTTTCACTTCAGTCTTGAACTGTGAATCCAGTTATGACCAGGCCATAGTTTTCAAATCTTCTGTCATTCTTGGAGTGTAGAAACCTTTACCCCTAGTTCCATCTACTGTTTTCGCTCATGCATACATTGTGCACATCAGCTTCAGCTGTTGCAGGCAGTGTAGTCCATGGCCATGTCAATCTCATCCCAACAAATTTGTTTTCATTTTATCTGGCCAATGATTTGCTGCCGATATTTATCAAGCTTCAAATCTTTTTCTTTGGTTACGTTTAATCTTTTAATTTTGTGCCATTTAAATAATCATTGTTTTTCTTGGACATTGTATTCAAAGAACTACTTCATACTGTGTTCTTCAGACATTCAGCCCCTTGTGCTAAACAAAAAGCATACGTCTGCTCATCCAGTTTTATTTTCATACATTTATATGACAGTTAGGGTATCTGTGGTGCATATGTGCTATACTGATATATGAGGAATTTTATTACATGCTTTACTCCTGACAGAGATATATCTGGCATGCTAAAGGGTGATTGCAATTCAGTTTTACAGATTAGGAAATAAAATAAATAGCATAAGCAAAATAGTTTGGGTTTTTTTTACTGTTAAAATATTCTTCTGCTTTCATTTTTAATGTGAAACATATGAAACGACAGATACAGATGTTCAATTTAGTAGTCTTCTGCATGCAAAATGATCTTAAGGGCAGATTTGTGGTCATCTGGTTTTTCATTCATGAAATGCCCTTTGTGACATTCATGGCTTCACCACATGGAGGCACACTGGGCCTCCTCTTTGCAGCTGTGAGGCAGTGACATCAGACTCCACCTCCCTTTGCAGATGACTCATAACTGGTGCAGCAGCTTTTGTAATGAACCACTAGAGGGTATCAGCAGAAAACAGGATATTGTGTTTCCCATCTAGATAACACGTGAGATCACATTGGTTGTATTAAAATCCGACAAACACACTTCCATACAGCTCACAGCATGGCACAACTGTAAAATCTGAGATTTTAGATACTAATTTCAATTAAATGAACTACTGACTTAATCTGCTATAACTGTAACAGCAGTATTATCAGTATTTTTTTCTTGCATGATAGTGGTGCTGTATGCTGTAGGCCGTGATCACCATGATTAGATTAACATACTCCAACGCAAAGACAGAAATCAATGAAGAGGAAGCGCCTGCTTTATTGCTCATTTCTTAATTCATCTAACTGTGCATCCGGACATTACAGGAGGGTGCTTGTGCATCCACCGTGTTTGCGTGGAAGCCCTTGAAGCAGCACTTGACATGAAAGACGTGGGATTCTGCAGCAGAGACGTTTCCCCTCTTTGCTCTGGGAGAATTACCATGAGCTCACGTTTAGAGCCCGTTATGTAACCGTGTCGGTGGAAGTGGAGTAGACCACCAATATGATGCAAGTCTTGCTAGCTCAGAGCACAACCATATTTGGTTTTATTTAAATGAATGTTCTTGTTATGCATTGAGTTGACTTAGTAGAGTTTGATTTATTACATTATGCATAGATATTATCACACGAGATTTACGATACAGAGGCTATAATTTGGCATTTAGGGTCTTGTGCATTGTTTGACCTCATTATCACACATTACTTCCCTTCCCATCAGTGTCCTTTGTAGATACGGGATGTTCAGTTCCTTATTGGAAACTTTTCTACACTTCCTGTAAGATAGCTGAAGTGGAGAAGAAATCATGCTGGCATGAAGGCCCACAGGCAGTGTGTGTGTGTGTGTGTGTGTGTGTGTGTGTTGGTTTTCAGACCCCTTGAAATGATGAGGAAGTTTGCTGCTGGCTGCAGGTGCTGAAACGGCAGTAAGGTGTAGAATGGCAGTGATACGATACGTGCTGCGGAATGTCTGATCAGTTTGTGGCTGCGAGCGTTTGTGTGTGAATGTGAGTGTATTTAGCTCCATTTCTCATACTGTGTTAATCCCGATGCCCTGCACATCTGTGTGTCCCCCCACTCACGTGTGCAGACAGATGAGCTGCATGGCTGGGTTCCCACTGCACGCATCACCCTCTCCCTCTCTCCTTTCCCTTCTCTTATTTCTCCCAATCCGCCTGCATTATTATACACCAGTGATGTACTATGGCAATGTCTTGGAGGACCGTGCTGTTGTGCTTTTTAGTAAAGCACAACAGCACACTTAGCAGTCCCCGTGATATTTAAATTTAAGGAAATTAGTTTAAAGGGAAGAGGTGTGAATTTTTTTCTATTTCCACCTTCAGGGCTGTGTCCAATCTGATTATGAATATTATCATCATGAAAAAGAACACAAATATTATGTAACTACGTGAATCACCAGCTAAAAGTGTCTGAATTAATCTCATTTTTGTTTTTTTTACCTCCTGAAGGGTGTGATTTTAATCTTAAATACTGCACCACACACTACAGTCTCTGTAATGAACTGGACTGGACTGCATAGTGACAGCTACAGTGCAGTATATCATTGGATTTCGGTTTCAAAAGGGTATCATGAAGGTCCCAGAGAAAATTCCACACAGATCAGGGGAACGTGGCTGTGACCAAGAGATAATGCTACAATAATAATGCATTATTATATGGACCAATGCAGTTCCACCTCAGTTCTAAGCATCTCAAAGGATAAGTTACACCTCAAGGTACAAATGTGCAAATATATCTGTCATACTAACCAACATGTTGTTCTCAAAGGGTGGGGGGGAAATATACTTTAGAAAATAATCAAAATCGCCCAGTGTTACTAAAATGTAATAATACCGAGTGCCAACAGCTCCCTTCTAAATAAAAACTCGCTATAATGTTACAAAATCGCAAAGAAATGTTTCGCTCATACGGCGATTGACAAAAAGTGGTTTCATTGAGACTTGGTCGTAACAAACTTTGTTATATTTCCGCTATGACTTTAAATCGTGAGGATAAAACTCCTCCCTCTTGAGTTGCTCTACTGTCAACTAAAAAAAAAAACCTCCCATGCATGCATCGGAATGGTAAGAAGAGAATGCGCATGGATGCCCCGGATACGATGTGGAGCAGTTGAAGTTGATGAAGAAACTATTGGCCACAAAGCGTCCACATTTAAACGTGTGTCTCGTAAATTAAAGTGCAAATAGATCTCCACTGAGTCTTTGCTTTGTTGGGGGCAGACCAGACTCACTGACTGATGGAAATAGAGAAGAGGAAAAAGGGGAAATCTCTTCGCTCAAGCAGAAGCACCACGAACTGGCGGGGCAACATTTAACGTCTTTTTTTTCGGGTGATATGTAGGGCTTTTTTTTTTCTGTTCTTTTATTTTGTTTTTTGTTTGTTTGTTTGTTTGTTTTCGTCGATCGGTGGACTATGTAGTTAGTGTTTGCACTTGCGAGTAGTATGCTATTGACTCCGATATGTCTAATGTGACGCCGAGTAAAAGCGTGGAATGGCTGCAACTCGAGTTAGAGTCCGGGGGCACTTCTCTCCTCCTGCTGGACTGCCGTTCACATGAGCTTTATGAATCATCCCATATAGAGACCGCCATAAACCTGGCCATTCCGGGGCTGATGCTCCGGAGGTTCAGAAAGGGAAACATACCTATCCGGGCTATCATTCCCAACCACGAGGATAAGGAGAAGTTCATGAGACGGTGCAAGACGGACACGGTCCTTCTGTACGATGAGTGCTCCGTGGGCTGGCAGGACAGCGGGACTCCGACGTCGGTTCTGGGTCTGCTTCTTCAGAAACTGTGGGAAGACGGCTGCACAGCGTATTATCTGGAAGGTAAATAGTTTTTCCGTTAAAATAAGCAAAAACAAACAGAGAACTGTGTATGCAAATGTTCTGTACTTGTAATTGAGTTCATAAGGATAAAAAATGCCTCACGGCGCATAAGTTTCCTTTAAGGTAAATTTGTAAAGTAAGATTTGGCCCAACCGCAGCAAAACTTTATTATAAGAAGTAAAGGCGAAGAAATGATTTTTTTTTTCCTCGGTGGAGCAGAAGTTGGGACACTGTGAGGTTTTTTTTGTAACTGTGAGGTTTCCTTTTTTAGCTTCTGAGGTTTAAAACGAAACTGTAAATGTTTATTGCGCTATACAAACGTAAATGTTAGTCCTGCGCAGATGTTCATCCTGTGCTGTGTGTTTGCGGTTTGAAGCTTGTTCAGAAGTTTGTGTGTCACTACTGAGATTCTCAATTAAAATTCCAAAATGGCTGCGCCATGTTTTGCTCTAGCAGGAACAGGCATGCATTTCATGAATGGCCTCTTTGGGGGGTCTTTACAGTACTGCTAGTCTCAACACCCTGCAGCGATTTTCCATTGATATGTGGTTTAAATAAACTTTTATGTAAGGTTGCACCTTAAGAAAAAAAAATGATTTAAATGTGTATATGTGACTTTGTTTGTGTCTTTGGCTCTTGTCCAGGTGGGTTTGTAAAGTTCCACACGGAGTACCCAGAGCACTGTGAGACCCTCTTGGACAGCTCCTGTCCCAGCTCCTCACCGCCAGTGTCTGTTCTGGGCTTCGGAAATCTCAGAATCAGCTCCGATTGTTCCGACGGGGAGTCTGATCGCGAGCCTACCAGTGCCACAGAGTCCGAGGAGAGCCCCATTCCGAGTAATCAGCCTGCCTTCCCTGTCCAAATCCTACCCTACCTTTATCTGGGCTGTGCCAAAGACTCCACTAACCTAGATGTGCTGGGCCAGTACAACATCAAGTACATCTTGAATGTCACACCCAATCTCCCCAACATGTTTGAGCATGATGGACACTTCAGGTACAAACAGATCCCCATTTCGGACCACTGGAGTCAGAACCTGTCCCAGTTCTTTCCAGAGGCAATATCATTTATAGGTGAGTAACTCAGATATTGGTTTTGTTGGAAAAAAAACTTGGAGACTCACTTTTCAGAAAGTTTAGTTTGTTTTGCTACAAGGCGTGTCGTGTGAGAGTAGGTTGTAAGTTCAAGTAGGCTTGGCAGCTTTTGTTCGTGGGATTAAACGCAAACAAATGAGGGATTTACTTTTTTTTCTTTTATTTCTTTTATTAATAATAAAATAACAAATGAGCATGCTTGAGCTAGCCATTAGTTAGCTCAGTTGGTTCTCGAATGTGCTTGTTGGACAGGTGGCAGTTTAGTGGGTGATTAAAGATGATGCTCTCAGGTGTTAGACAGCATTATCACATTTATACAGCAACCTTGGAAGAGAACGTCCTCCTTTTTTTGTTTTGTTTCTAGCAGCATCGCGACGCTGTTTTAATTTGCTTTTGATTTAGCGTCTCTTCCCGTCACTGCACCTGAAACCACAGCTTTTCGCTTGTTTGTTTGGTGGCTGCGGTTCTGCATCATGAACCAGAATGAGGAAGGAAAAGTTGTTTCCACCCTGGGCTGTGTTTGATGAAAGGGTTCAACCCAGTATCATGCCAAAGTGTAAAACAGACATGCTGGTCCGTCGTGTCAATTTCACGCTTTGCCTTTCCAAAAAATGAAATTGAGACAATGGCAGAAGTTGCATTACTACATGCAGACATTGCATTACCAGTTGGGGGAGATAATATATTTAGTTAGTGAGCAAAAAACGTATCAAGTACATTTCCTTAATCTTTAGAGTCGTTTAAGCTAATATCTATTTACATGTTAATGTGTTATTAATGTCTGTCTAAACACTTTCTGGTGATTATTTTCATGTTGGCTTGATATAAAATATCTCCCTCTGCTGTTACTGCAGATTGCTACAACTACATTTCAGGTTTTGGAGAGGCAAAGCATGAATTGGATACAGTGGACCGGCGTGTCTATTACACGCTTTGTCTGGATTTCAGGTTGCTGGGTTGCCAAGCTTTGTTGTGTTGTTTAGATTGAGGTTGCTTGCTAATTTTGGCAAGCAAAACTCGGTTTTAGGTATGCTGTGTTTGTTTTGTTAAAAGCAGACACGGCATTGATAACTAAAATAACCAAAGAGTTATGCTGACCTTAGTCTACCTTTTCTCTCACAGACGAGGCTAGGTCAAAGCAATGTGGCATCCTGGTCCACTGCCTGGCTGGCATCAGCCGCTCAGTCACCGTCACTGTGGCCTACCTGATGCAGAGACTCCACCTCTCTCTGAATGATGCTTACGACTTTGTCAAGAGGAAGAAGTCTAACATTTCGCCAAACTTCAACTTCATGGGTCAGCTCTTGGACTTTGAGAGAACTCTGGGGCTGCACAGTCCCTGTGACAACTGTTCTACCAACCAGGAGCAGCTCTTTTTCACCACACCAACCAATCACAATGTCTTTCAGCTAGATACGCTGGAGTCGACATGAGATGTGATAGAACAGCCTTTTTTTTGTGGTTTCCTGAGGTGACTCTGAGGTTTCTGAGCCTGTCAGGTGGCTGACACTTATAGTACGTCAGTTACAGTATTTCTGCACCAAAAGGAACTACTCCTATATGCAGAAAACATACTCTGTTAGATCCAGTCTCAATGCCTTAATATCTAACACAATGATGACTTTTGGTATCTGACATACATGGTATTAATGAATGGTCATGTACAGCCATAATAACAAGACATTTCTCTAGCATTGTTCTTTGACTGTTATTTGCTTTTCACCAGCTGTACAATGGATGTTCCTGTATCTGTATCAGTCATCAATATTGCCTTGATGGTCTAAAAAAAAGTCTTTGGCCAATTAGAATGTTTTCTTTGAACCGATATGAGATATTTGGGGGGGTTACCTAAGCTGAT